CAGAAATGTGAAGAAAAATGGATGCTCTACCGTGAGTAACATATTGGACTCGTTAAAAATGAGATCTCATCAGACGAAAAGTTTGAGTACTTATCAAAAAGAAAATAAGAAATTATAGTAGAATCCACAAGTTCACAATGAAATCTATCTAAGTTCCTAATAGAATAGTCCATCCCCTAGTTGAAACTTAAAACCAAATTTTGAACAATATCGCAATCCAAACAAACTAGAATTGATGTTAATTATCTTTAATGAAATGTACTAACATGACACTGGGCGTCATGGGTTACATGCACACACAATTAATGAGTAAAATTGGTTTATTATTGAATTGTGTCATTGGTTAAATACAATTTAGCTTGAAAAAATTGTTTATCTAAAATGTGATGTTAACTTTATAATATTTTCATTTATTTAACAATTGTTCATTGCAACCTTCTTGCCACATCACCCAAAGACACGTAATGGTTCAAGTTTGGAATTGTGATAAATCCATTTATATGAGTTATTAAAGTCTCAAATAGTTGGGGTCATCACTTATGTCTTAGGTAATTAGTTTTAATTTTATATGTTTCTTGTTTATTAGTTAATAACACTAATTGTTTTATTTTTGGATTTATTTTTTGTGTGCAAGAATAGTCATTCCTACAAGTTATGTTATGATAAATCTGCGATGTAATTTCCATCATATGTTGAGTCATGAGATGTTGGTTATTGTTGTGACTTGTGAATCTAACTATGAATATCAGAATATTCTAGATGAATGGATTAGGGTTGAGTTGTCACGTTAAATGATGAGGATTTACAAAACTTGCAAAAAGGATTGTGTTATCTTTCATGTGCATTGTACAATCCTAGTACGTGTACTATAAAGGGAAACATGCTTATTATTGAGTCAAGGTTTATGGATAAATTTTCAAACTTTAAGGACAAAAAGTGAAATATTTTGTGAAATCCTACTATAAATGAAACTTGAATTGGAAAGAATAAGCAGTTCAAAAGCTGAAAATTTTCACGAGAAAAAGAAGAACAAAAATATAGTTCCAATCTTTATCATATGTACCACATAAGCTCTAAAGGAAACAACATTGAAAGATGTGACACAAAATGTCACTTGTTGTTGACAAATTGCAAGTGATTTGAGTGCTTTCATAGGTTTATCATTTTCATTATTTATGTTTATGAATGTATACCTTAACATCTTTTTTTTCTACTTTGCTCACTACGAGTTAAATCTTGCATGTTGTATAATGTGAAGTTTCATGTAATAGTAATCTTTTTAATGTTATTGAATGTGATATTGTGACATGTTTAGTTCTTATGATTTACTGTCATATATTTGATTACGAGTTTGATCATTTTAGAGTTAGATACAAGTTTATTATGGTGCAATAATGTTTAACAAATAAATTTCAAGAACTATATGGTAAAATGACGAGTAAACATGCATTTATTACTTAATCACTTTAGGTATAAAGAATTAGGGTCATATGTGTAAATAAAAAAGTTTTTGTATAAGTGTATTGGCGCTACTGTGTGGCTTACACATAAGCTCCGTAGTTACTTACTACATATAATTACGTTCCTATCTCTACACCACACGTCATATGCAAACATTAGATAAATTCATGAAATGAATCGTTAATGTCCAACATAATATCTCACTTTGTTTCAACCCTTATTATTTCTCTCCACTTTCCATAATTGTAGTCATGTGGCATAAACTGGTATTTGTTGCTAGTTCGTGCTTTATTTTACAAATTATTGTATAAATTATCAAAGTGTTTAATATAATCCTCGTAAAATCGATATCTTTCTTATCACTTGTTATAAGTTTGAACCATGTATATTTGCTCATTGACAATGAAGTGATATAGTCGTTAAACACATTGGACATTCATTGAAATTATTTTAATGGGAGAATATGTATGAGTCTTGTGGTTTCGGTGATTTCCTTCATTTAGAAGGGAAAACTTCTAGCCATAAAAGGCCACGATAAGAACTTCACGATGTGGAATGTATTGTTTTAACATTGTTATTTACACCCAGTGAACTAGAATCGTCTAAGAAGGCAAATAATTCAATTTGGTGTCATCTTTGTTTTTATTTAGGTACTAAAAGTTCAATATCTCTATTTATAAATTCTCTAACACTTTGATTGATTATCTTATTTAAAGGTGAGAAAAATCATTTTAATAGTGATGATAATGATCCCACCAAACTTATTCTTTAGAAGGCGACAAATTTTGCTATCAAATTTTCAATAACTTTATATAACCAAAAATTATCCGATCAAATAGTGTGAAAATTTCCAAAATGATACAGAAAAAAAGTATAAAGTTATACATGTAACACAAGTTATAAAAATATAGAGGTGGATCCTCTCCCATAAAATTAAATTTCAATGAAATCTCATCCTCTCTTTTTTTTCTTCCAAAAACTTAAACTCAAATCAATTTCAATAAAGAGATTATCATACTTTAAATAATATAAAAACAAAAGTATATTGGATTTTCTAAAAATAAAAAAGAGCACATAGATTAGGGAGAAAAGAAACATAGATTAGGGTGGAAAGAAACACGGGACAGTATACAAGACAAACTATGAACTAACAAAAACCATAACAACCTTATTATCATCTTATCTTCACCTCTGGGTACGTTTTCTTCTCCTTCTTCCTCAATTCACAAAATGCTCTCTATTTCTTCCTTCTGTTACCGCAAACCCCAGTAGTTTTAGCTCCATTCATCGTAGAAAAATTGCTGGTGAGGGTATTCAAATCAATGTCCTTTTGTTCTTGTGCTATTATTTTTTTTTTCCCTTTAATGGCGATTTACCTAGAGCAAAGGTTGCTCTAATTTTATTTATTTATTTTGTTGACTAAAGGTTGCTTTGATTTCAAATGCTCATAATAGTTTACAATTTTTCTGAATGTGGTTGTTGACTCTCTACAGTAGCCACCAAACACGCTTTTTTTTTAATCTATTTTGCATTTTTCAAGTGGAATAATCTCTGGTTTGTGTGTGATATATGCTGTTTTTTTTCTTCTTCTTATGTTTAATATATTATATGTATCATTTGGTGATTTCATTGTTGGTTTCATTTTCTGTTTCATTTTTTATTTCATTGTATCTGGTTGAAGCAGAATTACTTGCTCTTACAGACATGGTGTATGATTTTGTTTATTATCATGGCTTTTCTTGTAGGTGTTTGCTGTCTGATTTTTTAAAGGTGTTTGGCTTATTGATGTACTGAGAGGTTAGACTCCTCTATCCTCTTTTTAGCCTTTTTGCATTGTTGATACTAGAATCTTGTAATGATTTTTTTAGTCAAAACATGTTAAGTTTCTCGTGTGATCTTGAAATTGTATTTACTCGGTGATTCGCATTTTTGGCACAGTACACATTATCATTCTGTTTATCTAATATGAAATTTTTATGACGGAAAAGTGCAAAGATAAGAGATGGAGACAGAAGTTATAATATGTTAAAGGAGTTTTCATCATGTCTCTCCGGTTTTCACTACGATTATTTTGATTTCTTCCTTAAGATTTCATCTAGGGAGCGTGATGTTCTTTAAATGGAGCTACTAAATTGGCGTGAGTGTGGCTCAATCCATGTATAAAATCGTATACTAGAGAAATATAAATTATCATTTTATGTTTGTGTTAAAAGAGAGCCCTCTCACTGCCAATGTATTTTCTATATACTTCATAATCTTTAAAGTTTGTCTGATTGGGAGTAGTTAGGAGCAGTGTAGTCAAGATTGAGTGTTGGATCGTAAGATCTTACGTGCTAAGGATGCCTGAGAGTGCTACCAGAGAAAGACTGTTTTCGTCGTCGGCATGGTCAAGATGACCATTTTGAAGCAAGATCGGAAAAAAACGTGTTAGGGTTTTTCTTTGTGTGCATGTATTATAACTTTCGTGTTTTTGTGTATTTTGGATATATATGTATGAAATTATCATTTTTCCCTTTGGTAGTAGAATCTTATGTGTCATGCTAACAATCCGAGTTTTACTATTTTTCACAAGCCGACCAATCCTCTTTAAGATCTCGTGCTTGACTACATTGGTTAGGAGTATTGAATGCTTATAGTGCGCGTCAGATTCGCTTAGGTGCCAATGGTAAATGGTTAAAAAAGGAAATAATAATCATTTGGTAACTGATAGAATATGTTATTAAACTCGGCCGTTCCAGCCGTTATCTCGGCATGGACAGAAAAATCAAGAAAACCACGTCAGGTCGTGCCGTTCCATCACATACGGGTGACTTGGCTGAAACGACTGCGATGATGGATTTGATTCAGAACGATGCCGCGTCAGAGTGTCCGCTCCGGCCGCATCAACTGTAAATGATATTACCCTTACATTTTTAAGGATAACAAGGTTATTTTATTGGATTTTAACTTGCAAACGTGTTTTGCTCAAGACTTCTGACTTATATTTCCAAATATGACTACTTCATGAATTTTGATTTATTTATGACTATATTACTATCCGCGTTACTAAAATATCGGCCGTTCCGCTTCGTGCTCTCATTCTGTTCCATTTTTGAAGATGGTCGCGCCTTGCCGCGTTCCGAGATTTTCTAACATAGATATTGTTGATAAAGTAGTATGACAGTTTCACATTAGTCTCTTGAAATTTATATCTTAGGTAATAGGTATATCCTTGCTCTTTAAATTCTATTCTCTTTGTAACTGAACATGATTTGTAAAAAAATTACGCATATATTTCCCGATGCAGCATGTGGCAATTAGAGATGCCCGAGATGTTTCTTTTCCGACTGTACTTCTCATCATATTATATATAATACATTCCATGCCATTGAACCTGTTAATCTACGGCAGTACTCGTTAGGATTTTAGATCAAGGCTAAGAAAGAAATGTATCAATCTAACGGCTGTCTAAATTATCCTTTTGTATGAGCAAATGGTTTTCTGGCTTTCTTTCTTTCTTGGACAATGTTGATGATGAATTATACTTTGTTTTTAGGAAGATGCATGAATTTTCTACGGTCGACGGTTTTATGGAGATAAGTGAATGCATGGCGGATATGATCAAGCATGTCGCTAATGAACCATCCGTGGGGCTTTACTTTATCCAACAACATGCTCAAAATGCAGTGCCTAATGTTGTCAAAACTGACAAAAATATCGTTGAAAAAGTTCACGAAACAGCTTTGCACACTGAAGACCTGGAGGATTCTATTACAGCGGTTCGATCAATGAAAGAGTGTGGATTTTCCATAATTGATGAAATGATGGGAGACATAAACAAATCTCTTGAAATTATGAAAACCAAAAAACCAAAAAAAGGGTTAATCCATTCATCAACCTCAACACCAAGGTCTCAGACTGAAAGAACTAATTTCTGGGGTAATCGTTCATTTTCCACTCTGGAAGGTGATGATAAAAAGATTAACTATTTTTCGAATGTCTTAAAGACGGCGAAAGAGAAGGTTAGCAATCTCAAGTGGCAACAGACTGACGATAAAGGACCAATACATTCTAACGAAGAGAAGTTACAATTTCCTGATTTGCCGTTATCGATCACATCAGACGGTATATCTTCATCTTTACAGGCTGCTGAACCTGATGAATTGCCTGTATCGAGCCAGGTTGAAGAGGAGTCTCAACACTTACAGACTGATGATAGCGAGATTAGCATTAAGTTGTTGTCATTATCAGAAAGGTTTGACGACTTCAAAGCTAATAAAGAAGCTAAACTAGAAGAGTGGCTTGAAGGAACCAGCAACCATGATGACTATTGCGATACCGATGACGAAAAAAGAGGTTAGTTCGGTTACACTTATTAAACAAACTTCAGCCTATATATACTATTGTGTAATATTTAACAATTTCGTAATATTGATTATTCATTAAATGATTTGCAATGCTGTAACACACACTATTCGGATATATGCAGTATTTGATTAATCAACCTATTACACATTCACACTACATTCATTTTCCTGAAACTTTAATGTTGATTTCATTATGTCTGATAGTTGTCGAGAATGGCAAGAAGAAAAAAGTCGGAGACAGTGACTTCTAAAGTGAAGTACTAAAATGAATGCATGCAGTTCGGTCAGGGAACTTTGAGAAAAAGCCCAGTTGTAGCATATGATAGCATGTTACTATATTTCAAGTGATTAGATTTTATTTTAGTTCTTCGAACTTTGAGAAGATTAAAGTCTTGTAAATGCGAAATTTGAACCGGTTGTATAATATTGTAGTTGAAATGTTGAGGATTATTGTTTTAGTGACTATAGACACCATAGTTGTGGTAAAATTGGTCCGGTAATAAAGGGGTGTATCAAGAGTTCCAGACTACAGTTATTTCTTCTTAATTTTGATGGTTGAAAATGTTGTTAGTTTTGTCAATGCAATGCAGTTCCTTCCCGTGTATGAAATGATATTTTTTGGCATTATCACGGACAATGTGCCTTTCAATTGAAGGGTCCAGCTGTTTTTCAAATGATATATTTATAAACGTTTAATATGTACTCTCTTCACCCAGTGTCAGTAATACACCCAATAGGGACCTTATCAATTTGCTGCTAGTTTTCTGTTCCAGACATTTTTTCCTCCTATGTCAGCTCTTCTTGGCATCAGGTCCCCTACTTGGAACTCCTTTGGTCGGACATGACAGTTGCACCTGATGGTCATGGCTTGCTTTATAATGGAACTGGTGAATGCGATAGTCATCCTCTTTTCTTCTAAAAGATCGATGTCTTCACTAATGGCCCTTCTATTATCTTCTGGTGGCAAAGGGTGGGTTGTCCTCTAACTCATCCCTTCAATTTCTATTGGGATGACCGCTTCTACATTATAAGCGATATGGAAAGCTGTTTCTTTTGTAGTTGATTGATTAGTAGCATGGTAAATTGGTAATCCTATAGAACATATGGTAGTTCGTCGACCCATTTATCTTTGGCCTCCCTAGTCTTTGTTTTTAACATCTGAACAACACTCAATTGACTATTTTAGCTTGATCATTCGTTTGAGGGTGTTCCACCGATACAAAGTGTTTCTTGATCTTGAACTCCTCCAAAAAGTTTTTTAACTTTTTATTTATGAATTGCATTCTATTGTTTGTTACAATGGGTCGGGGGACTCCAAACCTGACTAGTGTGTTTCTCTTCGAAGAAATTTAGGACGTTCGTTGTTGTAATATTTGTCAATGCCTTCACTTTGGTCCATTTGGTAAAATAGTTCATAGCTATGATCAAGTACTTGAGTTGTACTAGCGCATGGAAGAATAGACCGAGGATATCCAACCCTTATTGCAAGAACAACCATGGTGGGGTAAGAACACATTACTCAGCAGATGGAGCATTAAAGACATCCCTATGTCGCTGGAATTGGTCACACTTTTTCACATATTCTTAAGCATCTTGGACCATGGCGGTCCAAAAATAGCTTGTTTTAGGATCTTCTTGGATAACAACGAAACTCGTAGATGTTTTTCAGTTATCCCTTTATGTACTTCTAGAATGGCGTATTCGGCTTCTTCCTTTCCTTAAAATTTCAGTAAAAGCGTAAATATGTCTCTGTTATATAAATTCATTTTGATCATCGCGTTGTTCCTTTTAGATTAACTACATTTTGTAAAATAACATCATGGAGAAGTATTCAAGTTTGCCAAACTACTTCAAGATCATCATCGGGTGCAAAAGGGACACATGTTGGACGCGATATCATAACATATGGGTACGACATCTGGGTCTTGCTCAACAAGACAGGTGGTTGCACTTTTGGGAGATTTTCTGATTAAGATTCAATCAAATTTTATTGATTTTATTTAGTTATATGGTTATATATTTTTTGAACAAATGTAAAGCTCAAATTATATTTAAATGTGATTTAAATTTAAATTTAAATTTGAATCAAACCAAATCATATCATTTTGTTGGAGATGTTTATGGAACAAATAATATTCAAGTAATTGTGCAAAGATTTTGGACAAAATTAAAGCTAAGATCCAAAGAGAAAATCCCATAAACTTTTGCTATATAAGGAGCTCAAAACCTACATTGGATTATACATTGAAAATATTATAGTGTTTGGGTTTAGAGTCTTTGTTATTGTTGTATGTGAATCATTATGTTTCAATAACTTGGCATTATTGGTTTATCTTAGTTTAGTTGTAAGAATCAATATTAATTATTTGGTTAAACACCAATCATTAGTATTTAGTGATTGATAAAAAATGAGAGGGTTCTCATATTTAGGAGGAGTCCTAAATAGAAAGTCATTGGGTAGTGTTAGAAAGAGGCATTTAAAAACATATGAATTATTGTTGCCTGTAAGACTAATTGTACTAAGCTACTAATAATGAATTTCCTTTCTTGGGTTGGAAGCCAAACCTCCAGACGTAGGTGTTGCTGCATCGAACTGGGTTATAAATTATTATGTTTATTATTACTTTTCTTCTCCATCATCTTGTACAATTGAATATGTACTTACTATGGTGATTGTGGTTTAACTTGTCGAACCTATTGTCTATGACATCGTGTTTGACGTCTGTTCTCTGAGGAACAAAATTACAATTGGGTGAGCTCCAATGAAGATAAATTATATTCAAATTGTGACAATTAAGTATGGAGGGTTATTCAATAAACCACTAGTTTTGGGTGGCACCAATTATGATTATTGGAAGGTTATGATGGTGGTCTTTCACAAATCAATGGGAAACAAAGTATGGAAAGTTATGATAAAAAGGTGGAAACATCCAGCGATTACTTATGAAGATGGAACTACTAACCTAAAATCAGAAGCTGAATGGACTGATGCTGAAGATAAGAAAGCTCTTGAAAACTCCAAGGATTTGTAACACCCTGAATTTTAATCCAAACCATTACTTTAAAAATGTAAACTTACTTTTAAAAAATTTTGACTATTGTTTTTTTTTCTTCTAATTTGAAAGATTTAAAAATTATAATATGAAACTTACTATCATAATTTTTCTTGCGGGGTAAAAATTTACTCCATATTTCTAATTTGCATCAAACTTAAATAAATGATCAATTTAAATATTTTATTTTTACTTTAAATTAATTTATAACTCCAATAAAAACCTGATTTTCATTCCCACGGCCACATATAACATCACACCATTTTTATTTCAAATCTTAAAATTCATTGGTACCTAAAATGTTGGTTGCAAGGGGTCAATCTTCCATCATTTATATCAAATAAACAAAACATAGAGTATTATAAATGTTCTGGCCTGGGCCCCGGCATGGCCAGGCAGGCCCAGCCCAGTAATATCCTGCCAAGCTCAGTCCAGCTTGGGCCGCAGCCCACGAGCACAAGGTCCCCGACGGACAGGTAATGCCCCTCCGCGGGCAGAACATACCCCTTCTGTGTCGAGCACAAGACTCTCCCGTCGACCAGACACTGACCCTCCGCGGGCAGGACCTGCTCCTCTGCAGGCAGAACCCGCTCCCCTGGCGGGCAAGACAACGTGTCCTTCACACGTTCTTCACGTGCTCCCCTCCGCGGGAACACGTCACTGACCAGCTGCCCACCTCCGAAAGAACAGGTCAAACCCACTTTCCGGAGATCACGTGACCGTTTGACTAGGGCGAAGACCACGTCCTGGTCTTCACTACGCCATGTAAGCCCTAGCAATCACCTGGGTTGGGCCTGGCGATCCAGCCCAACACAAGTGACCGTTGGCCCAGCGCTGGGGTCTCTCTATAAATACCCTCTCTCACGAGAGGGTCAGGTAATCTCACTTTTTACCCCTTTTTCTGTACTTGTGATCACTCTGCCCATACGCTTACTTTAGAATCAGAGTGTCTTGCAGGTACACCCCATCCACTCCTTCAACACCGGTGAGCAGGCAACAAGACAAATACGCGTGGCAGCCAGCGATCCCTTTCTGATCAGGTCAGATCAATAAACAAATCATACAAAACATAACAGCTTAAGAGAAAGCAAATTAACAAAAATCATTATTTTACAAATATCTTTACATGTGAATATGCATGCTCTTAAATCTAAATGATCCGAATATAAACTGCCACATAAGTAACCTGCCACAAAGGTAATCCTCCACAAGGAAACCCGCCACAAAAGCAAAAGATGCATATGCTATGAAATGTTTTGCGCGATTTTCGAGGTCGTCCTACATGTGAATTTTTAATTTATCCCAAAAGAGGGAAGGGGGAAAATCTAAATAAACGTGTGAGTGTATAATGTAAAATAATGCATTAAGAGATCTGTAATTAGGGGTTGGTTATACTAAGGAAAGATACTAGCACCCTAAGTATCTATAGTATCTTACAGGAACCTCTTGTGTATATTTGTATTACTGTTGATTAAGTCATCTGTTGTGTTTTGGGGATTCGTAGATTGTTCTGTGAGTGATAAGAGTGGGAAATATTTTTGTTTTGTTTTTGTATAGTCTGTTGAAATAAACTAAGACAAAGATGTAGGAACCTAAAGGTTTTACTTATTATCGTGCTCGTTAAGATCTCACAATCTTATGTCTACGTATTCTCAAAAGGAAGCTGAGAAATCAGAGTGTCCTTAGTTCCACCTACTAATAGGTGAAATTGGGTTTGTTGGGTTTGAGAGAAGAAATAAGTTGTCATCTTAAGAGAGATATCTCACCTATTTACCACAAACGTTTTGATAAAGAAGATAATAAGGGAAGAAGCTTTAAACTTGGATGTAGAAAATCCAGAGTAATGTCACATCTTCCTTTAAATGAGTCTTTTCAAACTAAGAGAAGAACCTTGACTTGGATAGAGAATCAACAAGTGTGTCACTTATATAATTTAAATGAAAGAAGTGTTTTTTGTACCATAATAAGAGAATGACCCCAACTTGGATTTTGAATCAACAAGTGTGCCACTTACATCACTTAAATGGAAAAAAGTTTGAAATGTTGGATTTATGTTATGGGGAATAGAAGAGACATCTCTTCTATAGAGATGATTCATGTATCATCTCTGGGGGGAAAGTTTGAGTTTAAAGCCAAATGTTAGCTAGGGTTTTACTTGAAGTTTGAGGTTTGAAACCACAAGGGGTTATGGTTTTGAC